TGCCTTACCTGTTTGCTAGGTTTGCAGGGTATTCAGTGGGCCGTGGGGATTAGTCGTGGTGCACGCAAGCTAACCCGGACACCCCACATAAATAAATAAATAAAAAACAATAGAAAAGTTAAAATGAACAGTTCTGAAAAAACCTCCCACGCACACAAAAAAAAAGAGCACTAATCAACTTTTGTCGCCCTTTTTTCAGAGGTTTCCTTTATGCTTAGTAGAATCTGTTCAGAAACAAGACGAGAAAAGAAAGGAAATGTATATTCTGCCTAGTAGGGAGAGAAATAAGCGTGTGCTCATCCCTTCCTTTTCAGCTTTCAGCATAACTAAGATGCATGCTTTGAATATATATATGGATACGTGTTTGTTACAGACTCACAGTTATGTATTTAAACAAAGCAGGTGGTCTCAGATTGCGGCACGTCTTCCAGGAAGGACAGACAACGAAATAAAGAATTTCTGGAACTCCACATTAAAGAAAAGATTGAAGATCAATAACACTTCCACATCCTCACCAAATGACAGTGATTCATCAGAGCCTAGAGATCATGCCGTAGGAAATATCATGCCTATGCATGATCCTGACATTATGACTCTATGCATGGACTCATCTTCCTCATCATCCATATCCATGCAAGGTATGATCACAAGCAACCAATTTGATTCTTTCTCCATGCTCAACAACCGCTATGATGTGACTGGTGCAGCAAGTTTATTTGACATGTCCACATGCTTGACACAAGTGGGCATGGGAGATGGATTTTATGGTGATCATTATGGGATTTTGGAGGCCAATAATAAAACGGGGCTAGAAAGTGATCTTTCTCTTCCACCATTAGAGAGTAGAAGCTTTGAAGAGAATAATACAGTGAGTAATAACAGAATTGGCATGAAAAGCAGCAGCAGCAGCAACAACAACAACTGCTTTGATAATGCTTGCTTCGATAATACTTTCTTCAACAATACTGATCAGAGATTTAAAGTAGAGGACATGTTGGGGCTTGAAAATCATTGGCAAGGAGAAAACTTGAGAATGGGAGAATGGGATTTTGAAGGTTTAATGGAAAACATAACTTCCTTTCCTTTACTTGATTTCCAAGTAGAATAACCATCTACCCTTACCCCCCCCTTCTCATAAAGCTACCCTTTGCTATCGATGCTATGTCCTAGGAAATTTTGGGCATATACTTTCTTCCTCAAAATTTTACCAAAACAAACTTCTTTTTCAAACTTTCTAGTTTGGTACCCTCAAAAGTTTTTATTTTTGAAAAAAAAATCCTTTTTTTCCCATCAATATTGTGCTTGCTCTCTCTATACCTTTTGTTTCTTCCAGCTGTGAAAGAAGTTTATGCGTGAACACTTCCTTATTGTTGGAAAAGCATGCAATAAGTAATGCAAATTAGAGATTAGAGGTGGCCAGAGATTCTTTGTATGTAATTGGATCGGTCTTGGAGGCATTCGGTCATTTCTTGGAACGCGTTGGTGCAATAATCATCGTTCCCTTGAAGGAGAGAAATGTGAATAGCAGTATAGAAATTAGAAAGGGAAATAAAGGCATGATTAGTAGGTGAATTGTTTAGTAGCATGTACAAATTATAAACAGAAAATAATGAGGAGGTGAAGGCTGTTATTAGTGGGAGATGAGATGTGATGAGAAGGATAATGTAACATACCTTACGCTAATAAGAAGGAGCTTGTTACATACAGTCAAAGACTCTTTCTCTACGTCTTATTATGTGTAATAGGTGCTCCTGCTGGTCTACTGAACTTCAATCTATCAATCAAGATGCAATCATAAGTTACTTAAATCTGACATCAATTAATCTCACTCAGCTTTTATATTAGAATATACCCATTTTTCCCCAAATTAAAATAAAATCTCTTTACCAAACGTGTCAAATTAATTGTCAAAGATAGAAAATGAATATTATCTGTCAAAGAGAGGTGTCTGACCTGTTTGATCCCAAGCGGAATAAGTCAAAGTTTTGAGTTTAGCTAGCTTGGTTGAAAGTGCCGCGGATAGGACCAAACTCTCTTTTAACATTTAAGAAAAGTTTAGAAAACAGTAGTTTTTTCAAAGAAAATGAGGTTAATTTTTTTATTAATGTAATAATATAATTAAAAAAATATAAAATAATAAAAATATGGTTGAATCCGGTCGAGTAAGGTTAATATGTAAAACTCGTAACCTATCACATTAAATAAAGATAATTTTATAAAAAAATAAAACAAAAAAAATCAATTATAAGAAAGAATTTGAGAAAATCTAAGCAATTCTAATTCAATCTTTCACAGACCGAAAGGTTTACAAACTTCTTATAAATAAAATATTGATGTGTAGAATCAAAAAAGAAAGTTTAAATAAAAAAATAAAAAATAAAATAAATATTTATAAAAAAAAATCTAAATCTGACATAAAATACCAAGACTATTAAAAAATAATTCAGTTAAGAGAATGATATAAATGAACTAAAAAATGATATAAAATATTGAGGGATGATTAAAATGATAATTTAATTAAGAAAATAATTAAAAGAATAATAATTAAAAAAATAAGATCTAAATCTAAAAGGTAAAGAAAATTAAATGAGGGGTTAAATTGAAAGAAAATTTTAATTTTATAGATTATTTAAAATAAAAATAACAATGAAAAATAAAAATAAAATATAAAAAAAATAAAAAATCAATAGTTGCTTTGAAAACATGTAGTGAAGGCTTTGAAATCGAGAAGAATAGAAGAAAGACATAAAGGAAAAAAATACGATTATTAGTGCAAAACCCAATATTTCTTTACCACACATGTTGCTCAATAAAAAAAAACAACACCGCGAGGATTTAAAATACCGTTACGGAAGTCAGAGTTGGGCCACCATACAACACTATACACATCATCCAAACAATGCAGGGGCGTTCATGTATGCTCCCTTGAACTTCATGTACAGCTGATTTTTTTAAATAAATTAATATTATATATTGGTAACTTCATGCCTAAATACTAAAGTGTCCTGGATTTTGGTAACTGCAAAAATACCACGTGGAAAAGAGAATGAAATCCCTTGAGCAAAGACAAAGATAATTTCAATATAAAGACAACTGATGGAAAAATTAAAAATGTCCTTTTTTGTTTGTGCATTATTTTTTAATCCAAAGGATATCTTAATCATTTTACTATGCAAATAAATAGCAAAAGACTAATATACCCCTATTTTCTTTTATTTTATAGAACAACAGTAAACAATAATATCACCATCCCTTTTATTTATTTTTTAATGAGGCTAAGGATAATCAATGGGGTTAGACAAGATAAGTTTACCTAATCCATCTCATCATCAACTGTCTTACTTGTTAACATCTTAACGTTATAACCTATAAATATTACCTCGTTGGCGCTCGAAAAAAAAAGCATATTTCATGAAAAGAAAAATCAAAATAAGTGGGCAAAAGGAGTAAAAAATCACTAGTCCAGTTAAAAAAAAAAGTTAATTATAATTTTGTAACTATAATTTATTAAGACTAATATTTATATATATTAGTCATACTCAAGTTAGTCATACTCAAGTTAGTCATCCTCAATTTACAAAATTAATTTGAGAAATACAATGAAATTGGTAGAATGACTAAATTATAAATGGTTTTAAAATATAGAGTGTTAATGTCTGAATCTATAATGACTAATTAATTAATTTAATAAAACTATAGGGACAGACTTTATAGCATACTAAAAAAACAAATAAACAAAAAAGAATAAAAAACAGATGCGACGCCTGAGAGATTCGAACTCTCGCGGGGAAACCCCATGTACTTAGCAGGCACACGCCTTAACCACTCGGCCAAAGCGTCGCTGGATGTCTTTGTAAATACATTTATTTATTTATTAAATATATTATAAGGCCAAGCTATCTAAGCTAACCCAATCTGATGAAAGTCATGAAAGCCCGAAGGCTTCAAGCCCAGGAGGTCCTTCGGGCGACTACTATATGCCCGTGACTATTAACAGCTCAACACTTTTTTAAAATATTTTTTATAAGAAAATATAATTGAAATAATATTTTTTATTTTTAAAATTTTATATTTTCATATAAAAATAATCTAAAATTATAAAAACATTAATTTACAATTAAAAAAATTAAAATTTTTAAATATTTTAAAAATATAAAAATAAATAATTTCTAAAAACCTAACCGTTTTATTTTATAGCAATGCATGATGTTATTATTATTTTTTCATTTTGTAATTTTTTTTTCTATCGTCACCTTGTCCTCCACTTCATGCAATTTCAAGTATTTAGTGTATGCATTGTCAAGAAGCGTATATATCGTTTCTGTATTTGATTTGGATAAATTAGCACATCACAATACTTCATATTACTGCAATGCCATTATATGAATAAAATCGCTTGCATCTCTATGTGAAATGAATTTCACGGACCAAAAAAAGTAAGCCCGACGTTGCATTCCACATCTCCCCTCACAGTCACACAAACTTTTGAGAGGATGGTCTAGATCCTAAATATGTCCATTAAAGACCTAGATGGAACAATCTCTAATAATGGTGAAATCTTCGAGCCCTAATTTTTACGAAAAGTCACAAATTCAACAATTTTTTGGGTGGCCGTAGGGATTTTGATCGATAATTTGATCGTGCCAACCAAAATCCGGAGGAAAACACTAACCTCGAGAAACGAATATAAAAAACAGGAGGTCCACTGTCGATCTAGTTTCGATTTATACAATATTTTTGGTCGTGATGATGATGATGGAAGTGGGAATCGCAATTCATAACGTCGTGCTATAAAAGAAAAGGCAGCTCAGATATTTTATTTATCAATGTTCTCACTATTACCTTCAATCATGACCATGGATGGACACTCTTGTATCTCAATCCATCATCTCTTCAAAAGCAAGGGATATTCATTCAAAACTTTGCACGGTATCCACTGCTCATTCTAATCGAGTATTCCTACCCTGGACAGCATTTTTCTCAATCACTCGATGATAAACATTAATCGACTACTGTAATGGATTCAATTGATCAGCCAACCAAGTTTATTATTATTATTATTTGGGAGAGGAAAAAAAAAGGGAATATTGATTTAAACTATGAAGATTACTTGATCGATCGATATAAGTTAATTAAGTAATTAAGGTTGATGAACCAGAGACTATATGATTCGGTGCAGCTTGGAAGCATAGGGCATGTCTATCAGAGCGCACAATAGAGAGACCCATAGAATAATTACAGGGATGAGAGCTAAGAACGCATAGTCTATTTTCTTTATTGAAGAAGGCCCTTTTGTCTGCTTTTTGGCAAAGACAGGAGCCTTTTCCACATATAAAAAAAGAAAAAGAAAACACAATTAAAAGAGAGAAAGGAAATGCTAAAGCGTGCTTACTTTGCCATCATTCCTAGGATGTTTTGTAAAAGAGACAGCCAATTCGGTGTAAAGCACTTAAAAACCATTGGTGTCTTGGGAGAACCAGGATGCCCCCGTAATTCCGCTTAAATTTTATTTCCCACCATCATCTTTCGGCACGAAGATGACCAAGAAGCTAGGAGTATTATTCTGTGCCTATAACGGAAAACATTACGTGAAATATTGTTAATTAACGTGCTAGAATTTAGATAGAGATTCATAATTTGACATATACAAGTCGGTCCTGTTGTTGCTTATTACATGTGAATCGTCATTCTTTATATTTGATGATTAATCTTTTGTATATATTGGGCTAATTATTTGTTTGCATTCTTAAACTCCTTGTTTTTACTTCTTTTTTTTTTTCATATAATAAATTTCTGTGTGTCCCTTTTTGAAAGGTGATCATGAACTTGGAAAATGGCCAAACTTAAGAAGATCGATCCTTATATATATGAGAGTCAACTAACACTTACCTTTTAAGCAGTGGCAATATCAATTTATCATCACTCTTCATATTTCATTTGCAGATTTATATTACTTACACAAATATAAAAGGAATTGCTGTAATCATACATACATGACCTGATGCACCGAAGAAGAAGTGACTATTAAGCATAGGGTACTCAAAACGTAGCCCAAGCAAAATCAAGGAAGCATCCTTTGGTCTATCCCTTTTAAAATCCCCATCTCTTGTCACAAACACCCACCTGTGTCTTCTTCCATCTACTCCTCTCTCTTACACGCACAACAGTACTCACTCTCAATGTCCGAACACAACATTCATAGAATGGACAATGAAGACCAGGAGGCCTTGTTTCACTCCTACCCTTGTGCATACTACGTTCAAAGTCCATCTACCATCTCCCATGCAAACAGTGCAGATATCAAGACCAACAATAATATTCTCGAATCCACATACCATTCACCAACAAGATCCGATACTATACTCATCAACAAGAACCCTGAGGTCTCAAGGTTCACCCTTTCCCGTTACTCATCCTCTCGTGGGTCAAACAACTCTTTCCTCAATGAGAAGAAGGTTAGTGGACCGGAGAAAGGGGTAAATCGTTTGATCATTGTTGATGGTCATGGATTTAACGTTGATGATGGTTATGAAGAGAAGGAAGAGGTGGGAGAAGAAGATGATTTTTACGACGAGAAGAAAGGTGGGTGGTGGTGGAAATATTGTTCTTTTAGGAGGAATTCTTCATGTGCGTGGGTTTCTTGGCAAATATTTTGGAGGCTTGTGTTGAGTTTGTGTGTTGCTTTGCTTGTTTTTTATGTTGCTACAAGACC